TGTGTTGTTAAATTCACTGCGAGAATCTCAACTGGAAAGAGTATATAGACTAGAAGAAAATCAACAAAATGAATGTAAATGTGCATTGCATAGATATCCACTAGCCTTCCAGGTATGTTTCTGTATTCTCTATTTTTCACAAATGTAAATATAGTTTATATATCTAATCTTTATAATCTTTATATTCAATTTTATAATTTTTGTATTCAATTATCTCAGTATTGGATATACGAAACTTTCCCACAGATTGGAAAAAAAATTTGGACGACTTAGATACAAAACATTGCAATGTCCAAGAATGAATAGGTGGAAACCGAATAGATTTTGGACAGAGAATACAGTTAGACAATTTTTGGATAATGAGGAGGTAATTAAATTATTAAATTATATTTCTTTATTAAGTATTATATTTCTTTGTCTTTTTTCAACAAATCATTTGAGCATTTCAATTACAGATTCAAGTAATTGCAGTCTTAAACCCTACCGAGGAAGAATTGCAAACAATGTGGTATACGACTCTTTCACTGCCAGATGACAATCAACATAATTTTATATATGCCATTGTAGGTAAAGATATCAACAATGTAGCAGAACAAATCCCTGAAAACATGCCACCTGGGGCTGGCCCAAGTTCTAACTCCAATTACGGAACTGGAGTTGGCCCAAGTTCTAGCTCCAATTACGTGACGAGAGAAGAAATGAAGGACATGTTCAATGTATATAGGCAGCATGTAGTATCAGATTTGTGCAGCAATTTGAAAACAGGCATTGTTCAACAATAGGAAAGCTACTATGAAGTGATTCTTCGCAACCAACAGTAGTTATTTGAACAACAAAAATGGCAACAAGACCACTTTCAACAACAACAGTGGCAACAACACTACCAATGTCCAGCATGCAAAATTACGTCGACACTAGTTTAATTTCATTGAGGTCTTACATAGATGAAGAAAATAACAATATGATGAATAAAATATCAGGCGGAAAACAAATATGGAAGCTATTATGGCTTCCTTCCGAAAAGATGTTCGTCCTCAAGAGATTCCAATTGCGAAGGATGCCTCGACATCTCAACATGTGGAAGATGTTGAAAGATTAACCAAAAACAAAAACGACAAAAATCTTGGACATGTTATGCTCTGGAGAGTTATACTTTGGAAGATTATCGTATGGACAAAAATGTCGTTCTTAGAGATTGGGTATCAAAGAATCCATCCGGGTAACCAATCTAACTTCGATATTAAAATTTTACTTTCATTCATTTAAAACTAATTTCAATTATCTTATGCAGAACGTATT